ATATATATATATTATCTCAATTGCTAGGTTTTTGTTTCCAAGTCACCAGAGGGTTTGAAATTGAACCTGCTTTGCATGTTCTATGATGGGAAACTGGCAACGCAATCCAAGGCTTGAGTAGTGTCCATTACTACCGACTTGACTGGAACCATTCTGTAGGGAACCTGCCTCTGTCTATTGTTTTCATCATTTTCATTGCTCTGTTACGCCATGGTGAAGTGGGAACAAACCCTTGACTGCATGTCTACGTAATCATTCGTTAATCACACCTTAACAAGTTCATTAAAGATTAAAACAGCAGTCGATATCAAGAATCAATACAAGACCAAAATAAGTTATAGTTGTTGGATCAAATAAATTTATGTGAACTACAAGTATAGTTACAAGCAAATAGTTATGGTCATTGAATCCCTTGATCTTCCCATTCTAGAAAGCAAACAAAACAAAAAAATTAGGTTGACCACACGCCAAACCCTTTCTCTCCTTCCCCCTAACAAATGCAAGCTCCAAAAGAATCATTCCCTTCAAAACCCTATCATTCCAAACTCTTGATTCACCTCTACGCCATTGACAACAACACACAAATCCCAACCTGGGACAACGGTTCCACACTTTAGCTCTATTTGGTAAGATTTAACCCGTTTTTTTTTTTTTTTGTTTTTCATATAATTTGATATTTAAAAGTGCTATTCAATTGTTTTAATATCATAATGTTAAAAATAAAAATAAAATATTTAACTTGTTTTTAATTAAAAAACACTTTTAATAAAAAAACACTCTTATCAACACACATTTCATCAGACAATGCTTGTTCACCAAACTCTTGTGGATGGCGTCATTTGTGTTACATCTATAGGTCAACTCAAACGACAATGAGAGAGCTAGTTTGGCGATAAGTAAACATTTTCCAATATTAATTATAAGGGTTCAAACCCTAATAAGATAGGTAATGAAAAACTAACTCTTATAATTTTTTATTATCCTTGTTGATTATCTATTTATCTTTAATGATATTACATAAACAACTTTAATTTTAATATATAAAAACCGATATGAAAATATATTTTTTATTGAATTTAATTTGATTTGATGGTAATTTATTAATCTAGAATTTAATTCAAATTATATTTTTTAAAATAATTTAAAAATTAATTTTATTAAATTCGAGTTGATGATCAAATCTAATTTATATGATTAGATTAGAGTAAAATCTCATCAAATCAATTTTAAAGATAATATCTTTTTATTTATAAAATCCAAATCATTATTATTTAAAATTAATCTAATAAATCTACGGTCCAAACCTTAAATGGTGCTTATAACAATTTCACGCTTAAAATCAGTAGTGGGTCCCCACAACTTGAAACACTAATCAGCACACCATCACGGCCACATAAAACTGACAGACAGCTTCCCATTCCCATTCTCATTTCGTATTTTTCTTATACGGGCACAAACGAAAGCTCTTACAGATCAAGCAAGCATTAAAAACTTCAAAGAAGCGAGTCCCATGTCCCTCTCTCAATATCAATGTAATAACAATTTTAATAACTATATTAATAATAATATTTAGTTTCCTTTTTCATTTCATTTTCTTATGTAATTACTTTCATTATTTTCGTTCTTTTTCTTGTTTTTGATAGGAAGGAGGAGAAGGATGACAAAGAAATCATCATTGCTGCCAATTCTTCTTCAACAGTCAAGACGACGTGTCATCTGGTCTGGATGGAAGCTAGTGATCATCCTTTCCATGGGGCTCTGTGTTTTTGCTCTTTTTAGACTTCATTTATCTTCTCCTCCTGAAACTTTACTTTCTCGTAGAAGATCTTTTTCTCGCGAAGTTGTCTTCAGTGGCCCCCCTAAAATCGCCTTTCTTTTTCTTGTTAGACGGGGCTTGCCTCTTGATTTTCTCTGGGGGAGTTTCCTTGAGGTAATTAAAAAGAAAAATGACAACCTTTTTATCTTTCTTTGAATTTTGATTTGATTTTTTTGAGTTTTCTTTCACTTTCCCGGGAAAGCTGGTGGAATTTGGGAATTGGGTTTTTATTTTTAGTTTGTGATTTGATTTTTCTGTCACTTTCTTTGAAAAGTAATGGAATTTGGGAAGAGGGTTTGTTTTACAATGCAATTTGTGTTTTCTGTCACTTACTCGAGAAAATTAATTGAATTTAGGTTTACATGTGTATTTGAATCTTCTTTCAGAAAGTTAACGGAATTTAGGAAATGGGATTTGATTTTTGTGTTGATTACAATTTGAGCCTTCTGCCAGTTTCTCAGGAAAGTTAATGGAATTTGGAAAATTGGGTTCTAATGTTTTTGCAGAATGCTGACACGGGGAATTTTTCGATATATGTACACTCAGAGCCAGGGTTTGAGTTTGATGAGTCAACAACAAGGTCACGTTTCTTTTATGGTCGACAATTGAAGAACAGTATTCAGGTCACTTATCAATAAAAGCTTCTAAAGATTCAACTTTTTTTCATTTTAGTAAATTGTGCACGAAATGGCTACTGGAAAGTACAAATTTGCATTGCATGATTTCTCTCTTTTCTTATTCTCCCATTGTCAGTGCCTAAAGTGGTTTATTGGGTTTCATTTGGTCAAAATATGAGTCCTTTGGAGTTGGACATATGGAATTGATAGATGTATATTTTTTTTAATTGGCTTATGCAAGCATTAGGTAAACACAGTTTAAATATTGCGCCTTTATTGTCTTTTGAAAATTTCTACTAATGTAGCGTGTTAATGTTAACTTTGATTTTGTTAAATTAGAGCTTTTTCTTTAAGCGAAAAAGGAATGATGGATAATATATTGTATGTTTGAAATTGGATTTTTGCAGGTAATATGGGGAGAATCAAGTATGATAGAAGCAGAAAGGTTACTACTTGATGCCGCTTTGGAGGATCCAGCGAATCAAAGATTTGTTCTTCTCTCTGACAGGTTGATTTCCTGTATTGAGTTGGTCAATGAATTTGTTCAACAAAGTTTGTGTTTAGACCTTTGCAACTTATTTCCTTATTTATTGACTATCCTTTTTTAGTAGTTTCATTACCTTATTAGGCACGTGAGTTGAATTCATGTGGTGAGTTTCATGTCTAAAACATGTAATGTTCTTTATTTTTATGTTGCAGTTGTGTGCCTTTATACAACTTTAGCTATATATATAGCTATTTGATGGCTTCTCCTAGGAGTTTTGTGGACAGGTAATTGGAAGGGCTTTCATTCTTGAGGTGCCAAGCATTGATTGTATTACCATTCAGCCTTTGACCTCTTTGTAGGAATCTTAAAAAGCTAAGATTTATTTATGTGCTTTGTATTGCAGCTTTCTTGATGTGAAGGAAGGCCGCTACCACCCTAAGATGTCACCTGTTATACCAAAGGACAAATGGCGAAAAGGGTCCCAGGTTGTTCCATAAAGAAACTAAGGTTATCTTCCTATGTGATCTTTATGCATAAACAATGCTTTAACTTGACATTTGATTTTGTAATTACAGTGGATAGCTTTAATCCGGAGCCATGCTGAAGTGATTGTAGATGATGTTGTTATCTTACCAGTCTTTAAGAAACTTTGCAAGGTACTTGATCAAGTTATTTTGTCCATAGCAGCAACTTCATTTTTAGATATGATAGATATTTAAACCACTAATGCTGCTTATGTAAGATGTGACTATTTCTGAAACTTGACTAACTTTGCTATGCAGCAACATGTATGCTGCTGTAGTGAATGGAGCTTTCTTAAAACTTAAAATGATATATATTACCTTTAGAATTTACTACTTTATTTGATGATGCTCACCTTTTCATCATGTGTAATTGGACCTTTTTCCCATTACTAAATGACTTGCTCCTCTTTAATTTTGCTGGCATGATGTTTGTCCATGTATCTGCGCAAGCACTGTTCTTCCTGGTTGGTTCTAATTCCTTACAGGCAATTCTAATTAGATGCAACCACTGTTGAAAAGCTTTTAAAATATGTATTAATCATGTAATAACTTGCTTTTGTGCATTTTGCAGCGTCGCCCGCCTCTTGCTGCTTTTAACATCTGTGCATTTTGCAGCGTCGCCCGCCTCTTGATGCCACTAAGGGAAAGCTGAATATTGTAAGTTATAATTCAACATCTAATTTATACATTGCAAGGAAAAATGCTTCTTAATGTTCTGATATTCGAATCCTCTTGTCTTATGTTGAGTTTAATTCATATGTTTGGCCCTTGCCTGCCTGTAGCTTCTGGAGCTATTGGAAATGTTCTTTCTATGGTGAATTCTGTCTCATAGCTGTGTTCAACTCATATACTATGCCTTTGCCAATTGCAGATCGTAATATATTTGTTGTACCTTAAGGGTGTTTGCTTATTGTCATTTCTAGTTACTGTTTGCTCAATTATCTTTTGTTGCTTCAGTATAATCAAGAAACAATGTACGTTTGCAAAATAGCAAAGAGAGGAGTTCCGGTTAAGGCTTGTATATTATGGAAAACTTCAAGTTGGGGCTTGTTAATTTTCCATAATTTTGTGGATGTTCAAAATAATTTATATTCCTGATATTGTGATTCATTCTAGTTTCTTTCAAGGATTTGATCATTATTCTGATCTGGGCCTAATCACAATGCAGAAACTTCAGAAGCAGCACAACTGTATTCCTGATGAACACTACGTGCAGACATTGCTTTCGGTAAGTAGCATTTGGTTCTGTTTCTACCCATTGTTGTCTTCAGATCTCCGCCTAATTGTGTTTTTTCTGTTCTTTTCTTTTCTATGTCTACTTCTCAGATGAGTGGACTGGAGGGTGAACTTGAAAGAAGGACCGTGACCTATACTGTATGGAATCAATCCGCAACAAAAATGGAAAACAAAGGCTGGCATCCTAAGACATTTTCCTATGCAAATGCAAGCCCTCGGAAAATCAAGGAAATAAAGGTCATTATTTCATTTCTATTGTTAATTTAGTTTTATGTAATGATGGAAAGCATAATATGGTCATATGAAATTCTTCCATCTCTATTATGTTATCTTATCTTGAACTTGATTTCCTTAGGGATCCCATTTTGTGTGCATAGGAATGCTGGTACCATAACCATGTTATCTATGCGTTTGGAATTGTGCTGTAACTTCTGAGGAAGTGTTTGATTTCTATCGCCAAAAAAAAAAAAGTGCATTTAGGCATTCCACCTACATTTTATGGTTATTTTTCTACCACTTTTTAGCCACTGGAATGGTTTGCGTTGATTCTGTTTTCTAGAAAGAGGTGGTTTTCTTGGTTATCATATGCGCTTCTCACTTTCTACTAACTCGTCTGTTCATCTGTGTTACTCAATTTCACAGGGCATCAACCATATAGACTATGAGACCGAGTACCGAACAGAATGGTGCCGGACTAACTCAACATTCGTTCCTTGTTTTCTATTTGCACGGAAGTTCTCACGAGGAGCTGCCATGCGCCTATTGAGTGATGGTGTTGCTGGTCCATTTGATGCCTCTTCCTTATTAGCCAGGTCCGCCCCTGATTAGGAACAGTGATATTTCTCTCGGCACTCTTAGCCCTCAACCTACCCACTTCACATACAGTTGCAGCAGCTACAGCACGCCCACGTATAAACACATGATTTTATACAGAGATTAGATATCCATACAATAGTAGAAGAATATTATCTGCTGCTGCTGATTAATTTTCAAGGAAATGAGTTAGAAGTTTAACATTTCAAGGTTTGATCCTATCATTAAGGTCACTTAGCATTCTGATCTTTACATGGTTTACAGAGGTGGGAAACTAATCCCTGTCCTGTCTGCGCAGTGTTACTGTTGTAGAAAGAGAATTTTGTTTCATTACTTGAATAATTGACATACTACTTTATAAGAGATTATTTAACAATGACTTGAAATCACATTTATTTATTTTTTCCAATCTCATTGATGATTTCTGTAGCGTTTATATATATTTTGCTACGAGTTATATTAATATTCTAACAGCGTAAAAGATGACTGATGCGGGAGATTCTGAAAGAACTGAACTGTCAAATTCAATTGTTTTTGTAAAAAATAAACAATATATGATTAGTAAAAAAGAACTGAATTCCATGCTCCTATTGTGATCAAAAGGAAGAGGAATCAGATTAAACCAGTGTCGACAGTTACACCACCTGCTATCATTGTATCTCCTCTCCTCTGCAATGAAACCAAGCGTATCATCGAGTCAATTGTCATCCATTGAGTCAATTGGTTTAGTAACAGGGTAGACCAAGTTAGGAACTTAGGGTGTGTTTGGAACGAGGTGTAAATCAAGTTCCTAAAAATTTTGAATTTTATTTTTATTTAAAATAAATTTTTTATATTTTTATATTGTTTTGGTGTATTGATATTAAAAATAATTTTTAAAAAATAAAAATAATTTTATTTTAATATATTTTTAAACGAAAAGCATTTTGAATCGTCATTACTTTACTATCACAATCCCAAACAAACCCTAATTTAATTGCATCTTCATCAATTATATCCACTAAATCAAGTTATATCATGAATAAATTATATATGATCGATCATTAATCAAAATCATGAACAAATTATATATTAAACTTTGATTTTATCATTTAATTTAATAAATTTCAATCTAAATTGATCTTTAAATTTCTATTTTTACCAATTATATTTTATTTTCAAAATAAAAACATATTGTAAAAATTTAATATAATCAAATCAAATTTTAATTAAAAAAATATATTTAAAGTATAAAACCCTCTTAACTATATTTTGGAGACATACCAACTTATTTTTAAATGTAAGTCAACTTATCTCAATGTGGGTATTTATAGAAATAAAATTTTCTTACTAATCTAATTTTGCCATGTGTTATTTTAATTTTATTTTTATATAAAAAGATGAAATAAACCCTAAAAAATAACATGAAAGGTTGATATGTAAGATGGGATATTTAACATATTTTTATTTTTATTATAAATACAAGATCTTATAAATAAAAATTAATAATAAAATAATATCATATAACATTAAAAAAATATAAAAATCTTTACAAACTTTTTAAAATAAAAAGTCTCACCCTACACACATAAAGGAGAAAGACTCCTGAATATACAAAACTATCTTCAATACTTGTTCATTTTGTCTAAAAAAACAAACCTAAAATAATACAATTCCCAGACCTTTCTTTGCAAAATACCACCAAGTGAAATTGCCACCAAATAAAAAACCACGGGAAGCACAATAATAATTTCTAAAAATACGAGAAGCTATTTCTACTTTGGCTAGGTGTGCTGCATCATCATCATCATCATCATCATCGCTACTGTTGTGTGTATTGATAACTTCATCCTTTCCTTCCTCTTCATTGATAACTGCATCCTTTGATTGGATATCATCATCCTTTCCTTCCTCTTCATACAACCATTGTACACCAACAGTCCTTGTTTGAACAGGTGGATCATGTGGAAGCACTGAAATACTCACGTCATCACCATTATCAAATGTAGGACCATCGACCCCTAATTTCCAGTGGCTTAGCAATTGGAATTCACGAACATCACGCCCGTAACTCGAATGGTAGACAGGGGCGTGACAGCGCAAGGATCGACCACTGGTATTGTTTCTGATTATAAAATGAAAAGGTTCAAAGCGACTGTACTCTGACGTCATATAAAACCTTGTGAACAGATTAAAGCCACATATCCGGTGCGCAGGAGGAGGTGAGGATATTTTGAATGAAAAGTTGTCTACAAACTCATTCTGAATTAGCCATTTATCCTCTTCTTCTTCCTCGTAAAACCCCCTTAACTCCTCATCTTCATCAAATCCATATGCGACAACGTTGAATGAGCCATGTATAAATGTTATCTGTACCACCAAAACAATGTCTATAAAATGAGCAAAAGAAAAGTATTCAAATGTAGATTTCAAAGAAAATAACATGGATGCATTTGAGCACTAACCATTTCTACTATTCTGAACATGTGTGAGTCAAACTTTTGGATTGATTCTTGCTTCATCCAATCTTGGAACTCGACAAATTGTTCACAACCATTTGCTACAGTCCAAGGGTTTAGATTTGAAAATCTTTGCAGTAAATAGCAAAAGGACACATCTAACGACCACAAATGGGATGGAAGCTCTGGGAGTGCCTGAAGCATTTTGCAATTTCTTAAATATAGGTGTCTAAGCAGACCAAGATCCTTGATGCTTTCTGGAAGAGCACGAATTGGAGTTCCACTTAAATCTAGTCTCTCCAAGGAGCGTGGCAGTGAAAACGAGGTAAATCTCAACATTTTCATCGCTGAAAACCTAGAGGGAAAGAATAGCTTCAATGGAAGAGATGTAATGTATGATGTACTTGCAACAATTCCATCGCTTTGAAGCAAGCTGCGCCCCTGATGATGCTCTAACTCCATATTCATCAGGCTGACAAGATTTGAGCAACCATCTAAAACCAGCTCTTGAAGTGAATTCAATCTACTCATATCTTCTGGAAGCTCCATAAGACTTGTACAATTTCTTAGATTTAAGATCAACAGTCTTTGTAAATCACCAATAGATTCGTGAATTTGAACCAAACAGATGCAATCTTCAAGTATTAGCTTTTCAAGGGCTGGGAGACTCGAGAAGTCTGGGGTTCTAATGAGATCAAGAGAGTGTCGGAGATCAAGAATTTTCAATTTTGGAAGAAACTGCGAAAGTACATGAATTTAGTTATCAATTGAAAACGAGAGAGATAGCTACAGAAAAAGACTAGATGCATACTGGTTTGCCTTTCCAAGCATCAACTAGAGAGCTTCTGGATAGATCAAGAACCACCAGCTTCTCCAAGCATACGTGATTTGGTATGGATCTCCAAAAGAATCCATGCCAGCATAACCATATCAAATTCTTGGGAAAGTGCTCAAAACTTCCATGAAAATTAGTGTAGTTTAGTTGGAGAAATTTTACATCTGACATCGTTCTAAAAGTATCCGTGCTGAGGATGGGAAACAAACTTGTTTGGTCAGTTTGTAATTTCCCCCCATTACGAAAGTCAGAAAGCCATTGTTGAAAGAAATTGAGCCTGCGCCTCTTGCTGCGAACCATTGAACTGGTACAAGCAACTTCTGCATAATCATCTTCCATTAATGCATGCATATCCAGGGTAAGGCCACGCAATTTTTCAGCATCCTGCAAAAAATTATAAAAAGTATATGATAAAGGAAAGTAAAAGAGTGAACACGTTAAGGCACCATAAACCATTCAAGTACACACAAAAAAATTGAGCTACTTACATTAGTTCCATTCAATACTCTAAAAGCATCCTCGTGAAGCCATGTCCTTTGACATTTGGGTGATTCTTGTCGAGCAATTTCCCTTCCCATATCTCTTACAAGTTGATGCATGCACAACCTTTCATCACTGTTGATTACTACAAGGCATCTATCGATAAGTTTGTCAATCCTAAATCTTGCACCTATACCGAGCCCATCTAGTATCGTAACTGCATAATCCACATCCATTCCATTGAAGAAACAAGCAATATCAAGGAATAAGTTTTTTTGATAATCATCATCTAGAGAGTGGTAACTTATTTCAAGAACATTTTGAACTTCACAATTAGGAATCACTGCCAATTCCTGTAATGCGCTTCCCCATAATTTTCTTCCTTTCCCTGACAATGAAGAACCAATAACACGAAGGGCTAATGGAAGTCCATTACAATGATGCACTATTCTCCAAGAGTCCTCCACAAAACCTTCAACAGGGTAAGCTTGTCCAAAGGCATGCCAACTGAAAAGCTCGAGTGATTTTTTGTTGTCTAGAGGTTCAACTTTGCACTTGACAAACTCATCATTAGCTGCAATTAGACCCTTATTTCTAGTTGTTACAATGATTTTACATCCTTTACAAAGCCATTCTTGCATGCCTATGATTGCATTGAATTGGTCCCTATTGTCCACATCATCAAGAACAATAAGAGTTCTTCTGCAACACAAGGCATCCTTAATCTTTAAAATTCCTTCATCAACATCATGTATCTCATCAACAGTTTGGTTTAGGATATCAGAAAGAAGTTGCCTCTGTAGGCAAACTACACCTTTGGATTCTTTTGAGATTTCTCTAACATTTGATAGATAGCTCCTGCATTCAAATTTACGAAAGTTCTGATTAAAAACACTCTTTGCTATAGCTGTCTTCCCAACTCCACCAATTCCGTAGAGCATAGCAGTGGCAGCATCATGGGACTCATCTTGCAACCATGAGTTGATATAATTTACTAGAGGGTCTCTTCCAATGAAATGAAGGGGTACATGAAATATTTTTCGATCCAAGTTCTTTGAGACCTTCTCCACAATACATTGGACAAGCAGTGCCTCGTATCTACATCAAAAATAAAAATATAGTATGATATTTAGTAGTCTCTCTAGAAAGTATAAAAATCACAGTATTTTTCAAGAAAATTAATAACGTAGAATCATCATTACATTTTAAACTAGACAAGAAGGAAGAGAACAGAAGACAAGGAAAAAGTATCTTCTATTTTTATTTGTCTTCTATGCTATCTGAGTTTGGAGTGGTATGGTTTTTCTAAATTAGGAGTGGTATTATCAGTCATCCTCTAAATACTTGCAAAACAAAACAAATTAAGAGTTCACAATCAGCATTCTAGTCTTATGCTAGGTGTAGTTTCATAAAGAGATACTACTTACCCATCTCCTAAAACCATTCCAGCTAAATCGGCCACTTCCTTCAAAGCAATCCTCCACCCGTTCACCCTCTCCATCTCCTCCTTGAAGCGCTTTTCATGCTCCACAAATGCTGCGGCGAAGCTCCCTGTTTGCTTTCTGACTTGGGATGGATCCACATCATAGAATACCGGAAAAACTCTGCAGTCTGCAGTCCTCCTTCGTTCCATGATCATTACAAGTTCATCAAGGCACCACCTCGAAGAAGCATAGTCTTTGGAGAATACGATTATCGCAATTTTTGATTGCTGTATTGCCTTCAGGAGCTCCGATTCGATGTTCTCTCCTCTGCCAATTTCATCATCATCTCTAAATGTGTGAATCCCTGCTTGAACAAGGGCTGTGTAGAGGTGATCAGTAAAATTCTTGCGAGTGTCTTGGCCTCTGAAACTCAAGAACACTTGATATTTACAATGAGAAAACCGTGAAGATGAGGATGCTTGATATTTCGCAGCAGCCATTCCAAATACAGAGACAGAAAATCTTCGAAGATCTGAACCAACATAAGAAAACAGGGCAAGAGTTGGAGCTAAAGTAAACATCATTTACATCAGAGTTATATTCCATAAAATAACACACAGGAGATAAGAAAGAGTGGGAGAGAGTACCTGAAAGTTTCTCTTTCCCTTATCTCTTAGTTGTGGCTGCAGTTCCGTATCAGTTAATCAATAGTATTCTGCTCTAAGTTATGTCTATGGAACGCTACTGCGTGAGGATGCCGGCACAAAGTGCAAATGAAAGAAGAACAAAAACATAAAAATAATTTTCGTGGATGACTTCTACGCGGACAACACAACCAAGTCCAAGTATTCAATTTATAAATTGTTCGCAATGTCTTTAATTTCTTGAACACTTTCAAGTGTTTTAATGGCACAAAGTGGGAAAAAGAAACCAAAACATAAAAAAATAATTTTCGTAGATGACTTCTTACGAGGAAAAGACAACCAAGCCTTCGATTTTGAATTTGGTAGGATAGTAAGCTGGCAATATCTTCAACACTTTTCAAGTTTTTTTTTTTTTTTAAAATTCTAGAATTGAAAAGAGAGAGAGAAAAAGAAAGAAGAAGGATCGTCAGACTGGGCCTAGAACCAAGTCTCGTCAGTCGAATCGAAAGCTTATTTGCCTGCTGAAAGAAGAAGGATCGTCAGACTGGCCTAGAACCAAGTCTCATCAGTCGAATCGAAAGCTTATTTGCCTGCTCACTTAATGAAAGGTCTCCAGATTAGTTGTTTGGTGGAAGATCAATAGAAAATCCAGGTTTCTTACATCCAAGAATGCTGTTCTCACATCTGTTTGATGCACTGTGATTTTTCCATAACCAAAGTCAACACAATTGCTTAAAATGCAATGGTATAATGCAGATGGAAGTTCTTACATTGACACAAAGGAGAGCCATAGGTAACCAAAGCATAGCACTTGAACAATTTGCAGCAAACAAAATTGGACATATTTATTGAGTAAACTTAACTAGGATCAAAACTCATTTTTTATTTCCTCATAATTATCTCATCTATAACTCATCTTTTATTTCCTCATAGTTATCTCATCTATTCAAAGTTTTGATTAACCTGAGACCTCATGATACCTTCTCTACATCCTCTCTCGCGAGCCCTAAGCTCCCATATTGCTGTAAGTTTCCTCTGTTCTTTCAATACTTTTTCAGCCTTTTTCTGTTATGACCTGAATTCCAGATCCATGACTAGTACATAGACAAAGTTTTTCTTCAAGATTTTATACCTCTACGAATCCAAATTTATATACAAACTTCTTCTAACTTAATCAGAGTTTAACGTAGCATTAATAACAAAACTAACTTCATAATATAATTGAATTGTTTTAATACAAGAGTTCATATAATTTCATAGTTTTGGAGCACTAATTAGACATAAAGAAAAGGTACAAAGTACAACCAAATAGCAGCTTCTGAAGGTCTAACAAAATGACCTGCTATCAAGCTATAAACCTGAAAAGGATAAATAATGAGAAAGTGAGTTTAACAACTCAATGAGTAGATAACGTTCAATATACATACACGAGGTAATACAACAATGAGAAATATATATACAAGCATGACTTTAGGTTCTTATAGAAATGTTTCTCAAATTGATCATAACAAGAATATCATATGATAAAACTCGTTAGAAAATCAAAATGCAATGAACATAAAGCTCCATACTGTGGGATGATCAATCCACACAGGTTGGTGACTCTCCCAACCAACTAGGGTTCATATACGATGTGCACAAAAACTAACACTACCCTGTTAGCATGGGTATTCTGATTGACATACCACAAGTTTATAATTATAATTAAACAGACATATTCATATATCAAGGCTCAACTTATGACATCAATCAAATGAGAAGCTATCAATTCAGAAGTCAATTCAAAATATATACTGGTTCAGATCAAGAATTTAGATTCAATAATTGATCATGCTTTATCATAACAAGGATAATAATCAACATATATATTATCAAGAAGCATGATCCAATTCATATTAACAAATCAAATATTTATAATATTTTTTATGCATATGAAAAATTATCCACTCATCTGACTCGAAAGCAAACAAAAGTCAAAAGCAGACATCGAAGAAAATTCTACTGACATCCCGCCGGTAGAATATTAAGATTATTTGAATATAAAGGAGACATTCAAGAATGACTTAAAAAAATATTTAATCTATTTAATACACTTAACTAAGAGTGTATTCCATAACTCTATATGTTTTTGAACTAATTTTAATTATTTCATTATTATTTTTTAAAATTTTTATGTGTGAGAAAAAATCTTGAAAATCATAAAACAAAATACAAAATACAAAAATAGATGGGATTTGAAATCATATAGATAATCAAGCATCGTAGGCAAAAATGAGGCTTGAGATGTTTTGGGTCACAATTGACATTTGAATTTAAAAGGAAATTGAAGAAAATGGCTTAAATTAATTTAATTTAGCTAAGATTGAAAGAAATTTGAATGAGTTAGCGAGATTAAAAATCAATAAAGGGTTTAATTGAAAAAGAAAATCAAAATTGAAAGTTAGATTGATAAAAATAGTATAATTCTTGGAACCATTGTTAAATTGAAGGTCTAAATTGATTCAATTAGGATACAAGTGAAAAGGAAAGGATGATTTAGGGCAAATTAAATGAGATTGGAAAAATTCAAAGTCCAAGGACTGTAATGAGAATAAGGAATGTTTATCTGAATTTTAATTGCAGTCCATTTCAATCCCAGAACCATTCAATTTAGTCCAATTTGATTAATTGATTTCAATCATATTAGTCTGATTGAATTAATTTGCTTCAATTTAATCCCTAAGTAATTCATGATTTCTTTCCTAAATGTTCGAAATCCTAGTTTCCAATCGATTAACCAGCAAATTATAGCCAAAATTTATTGTCTATAATCAATTATTCAGCAATCAAACCCATTCTGATCTGTCAAATCCAGCTCCAAAATTTTAGCCCCAAATTGAATTCTTCAATCAATTCCCACAATCCTAGCCTTTCCTCTCCATTTTAAACACCAGCACAAGCAAGACAAAAAAAAAAAAAAAAAAACCCATAGCCTCCACTGTCTCTCGACACCATTCATGGTCTCAGGTTTCTGGAAAACACAACAGCTCCACCCTTTCCCATTAACCCAAGACCAACACCCACCTTTCCTCCATAAAATCCACCAAAGTGAGCCCATTCTTCTTCCCTGAACAAAACCCCGACCACCAACGTCCAACCCAGTCACTCTCCATTCACCCAGAACAAACACCATCTGAGAAAGAACACTGGGAAAACCCAGTTCCACACCAGTCAATCAAGCCCACTCTCTCTTCTACTCCCAATCAGCCACCATCACAATCCTTCTTCGCACAGTCCAAACAAAAATCAAAATCATTTACAGCCTCTCAACCGTGTGCCCCCAGAAGCCTCCCCCACGGTAGTGTTCAACACATACCAGCCTTCCCTCTCATTTTGGCCATCCCACACCGAGAACCACCCTGTATATAGTTAAGAACCAATTCTGCAACAGCAATTGAATTGAATCGATTCATATAAAAATATAATAACTTAAAAGAAAATTCCATTTCTTTATTTGAAGACAAGGACAAATTAACCCACGCCGAGAACCACCTTGTATAATGGTTTTTTTTCCCATCAGATTGCTTTTTTGAATTTCGAACACAGTAATGGAATTACAACATTTTTTTATTACATAATCTTCATAAAAACTAAAATTATTAGGATTCGAGTCTACTTCACTAAGAAACTGTTAGCTATATAATTGTTAGGCTACAATTACTTGAATAAACAATCTTGCTGCTTCAAATATTTGCGTACTCTCCCTCTTCAATTCGTCCTTTGCGTATCAATGTATGCAAGTATCATGTTCGGTTAATAAAGAGACATGATGATTACAAATGAGAGGGGCAAAAAAAAAAACAAAAAGATGCACAACCTAGATTTTCATCCGCTAGGGGTTTTCTCCTTTTTCCTTTAAAAAGATATATTTAGAATTCCTTACACATTACTAAAAAAAAGAAAGAAGAAATGATGTTAAACTGTTGCAAGTATGTTTTTTTTTTTTAAAAGAAAAAATATGTGATGGAGGACAAAAATCTGATTAGGATAAATAAGTTGACTTTAATTTACGTAGAAAAAAAAATGGTAGTAGATTTATTTATTGCCTATTAAATACATAAAAACAACTCAGGATAAAACATGATATAAAATAATTAATTTTTATCAGGTTGGTTACTGATTAGTACTTAAAAGTACATTTTTATCATGGTTTTATATCATTATTTTGCACTTGAAGTATCAATAACTCCTTAACTAAAATATGTTTTATAATAATGTATCTAATAATATAAGATACCTATAATTTGTGGTAAATGTCTATTTTTAATGTAGGTCTATCACATAAATGAAAGGATTGATTGATGACTTGAAGAACTTAAATTGCACGGATAAAGAGATGGTCAAACTTAGAGAAGAGATGTCGGTGCAATCCAAACCGGAACACTGTTCGGTAATTGGGTCATATCTGGAGCTACAAATCTCAGATTTAGGTCCAATTTATATGGATGGAAAGGCAAGACATAGGCCTACAACTTTCATATGGAGCCCAAGATCTAAAAAGGCCATTATCAAGTCCAAATTGTAGCAACAACAAAGAAGCCCGAATCTGTCTTCCAGCCCAAGCACTGTTCGGTATTTTGGCCATATCTGGAGTTCTAGAAGTCGAAATGAGCTGAATTGTTTACACAAGAAAGCTGAGACAATTGCCTACAACTTTCATGTTTACAACTGGCTCCAATTTTGACGTTATCAATGACGTTTTGGGCAGACAAGAGAAGATAAGGATTGTCACCAAGTCAAAAGTTGGCCACCCACTTATCAATTAGTCATCAAATCAATAGTTCCCAATTTTGGCCTATAAAAGGAGGCATTTGCCATGCATTTAGGCATCTTGGTTTCCAGATCAAGATCATGCTCTTCCTTTCTCTCTTTGTATTTTTTGTAATGTTTATACTTTGCTTTCATTAATATCAAGTTTAT